ACAACGACGACGATGACATGATACCAATATACGACCCAAAATTTTTTAATTTTTGCGGTCGTATAAAAATTCTCATTTAAGGGCAATCACTCCTATAAAGAGTGACAGTCCACTAACTATATCGGCAAAATTTGACTTGTTAGTAAATCTTGCCTAGCTGACAATTTTTGTGATTAAATGTGTTCATTTATCTATAATAATTTCATCATATAAGATAAAACACAAAAAAATGGTAAAAATCATCATTAAAGGGCAATATATAACTCCAATAAGGAGACGTTGGATGATTTCCTCCAAAATTTTTTAATCGTAGATCTTGTCTTGCTGATCATTTTTGCTTATTTAAGTTTCTTATAAGGCAAAAAAGCAAAAAATTGCTAAAAATCAATGTCAAAGGGCAATAACTCTAATAAGGAGTGACTGACGATTTCAACCATGACTTAAGAGTAGAACTTGTCTTGTTGGTCATTTTTGTACTTTAAAGTTTCTATCTATCTATCAAAGTTTTCAAAATAATAGGCAAAAATGAAAAAAAATGATTAAATTTGTCATTTAAGGGCAATAACTCCTATAAGAAGTTGTCTGACAGTTTTGACAAATATGGACAATTGGTAGAGCTCAACATTCTGAACATTTTTGCTGCCATCAGATTTTCTCTTTTTATAACGGTTTTCAAAATAATAGACAAAACTTGCATTTTACCCATATGTTCTATTTTTAGCCATGTTGGCCATCTTGGTTGGCAGGCAGGGTCATCAGACATATTTTTAAAACTAGTTTCCCCAATAATGATTGTGGCCAAGTTTGGTTAAATTTGGCACAGTAGTTTCAGAGGAGAAGATGTTTGTAAAAGTTAATGACGACGGACGACGGACGCCAAGTGATGAGAAGCTTACTTGGCCCATTGGGCCAGGTGAGCTAAAAATGGACTAAATCTTATTGACCAAAATGTGCAATGAGCTACAAAAGTTCTTACACCAAATATAGTTATCCATATTAAGTGACTTATTCACATGACAAAAAGCCCATAATTTTTTTCAAGCAGTCAATGATTCATGAAAATGAGGTCAAGGACAATGAACATATGATAGACAGAAACTTTGTAGCATAAGGCATCTGTTTACAAGGTATGAAGCATCCAGGTCTTCTACGCTCTGAGATATGAATCTTTTTACAAACAGTTGATGCTGCCTCTGCCACATTGTAATCCCTGTGTCTCACATTCTGCGACTTTAGTCACAAGCCAGACAAAAAAATCTTTAAAGGGCAATAACTCCAATTAACAATCAATTGACACTTTTAGTAAAGTGTCTTATTTGTAAATCTTGCCTTATTGATCTTTTTTGCAGTGTTTTCGTTCTGTTATATTTTTCAAGATATTAAAATTTGCAAACCATCATTCAAAGGCAATTACTTTATGTTTTCAATCAATTAACATTTTTTAATGTGTTGTTTTGCTGATTATGTTTGCTGTTTACTGGAGTATCGGTAGTACCTAGTATCAAATACCAAAATGAAACTGTTTTAATGGATTTCTTGTTAAGACATTGTTCCCTTCCTTCAATAAATAGATTTTTTGGAGAAAGCCCCTCCTAGAATTCAATAGAAATAACTAAATAATCATTGTTAAAAAACATTTGTATGCTCATTAAAAATTGTTATTTAAAATGCTTTACAAACATGTTGCACCATATTAGAGCGAAATAATATTTCAAAGAACAAAGTAATGTAAAAACAGACATAATTATCTAGCCTAAGATAATAGTGTAGAGGAATCATTGCCGATTAGACAACAATTGTGTATTACTGTTTACCCATTTTATTGATTTTTTTCTGAGCGAGCTCTACAGTATCGCTCAATAAAAACAACGAGTACCAACGAGTACTCAATAAGTAATTCTCCACGGAATTGACATCCCTAGCAAACACATTCAAATTGGTAAAAAGTTGTCATTTAATAGCCATTACCCCTTTTTAGATTGATGTTTTCATTATATTAGTATTTTAATAGATCAAGTTTTGTTGATCATTTTTACAGTTAACAGTTTCTGTTTATCTGTTATAGTTTTAAGGTAATTAGAAAAAATGCCTAAAACATGTCAAAAATTGTCATTTATAGTAGATCTTGTACTGGTGATCATTGTTGCTTTTCCACATTTCTCTGTTTGATCTATTTAAAAATAAATGGAGAATATGTCCCCATGGACACAGATGATGCCCCTGCTTGCATACAACATTATAAAGGGATATAACTCAAGAACGATAAAAGTGTATTATGTATAGGATTCATAATGTTTGGTTGGGGCAAACTTAAGTTACAGAATGGAAACTAAAAATTTTGCAATTTTTCAATTTATAAAGGGGCATAACTCGCTGATGATTAAAGTGACACCACCAAAATTCAACTTGATCTGTGTTTTGTGGAAATAAGCATTGTGTATAAGTTTCATAACATTTGGTTGAGGCAATTTAAGTAAGAGAAAGGAAACTAAAAATTTTGCATTTTTTTTCCATTTATAAAGGGGCATAACTCGAGAATGGTTAAAGTGACCCCACCAAAATTCTAACTTGACCTGTATTTTGTGGTAATAAGCATTGTGTATAAGTTTCATAACATTTAGTTGAGGCAAACTTAAGTTAGAGAACGGAAACTAAAATTTTTGCAATTTTTCCATTTATAAAGGGACATAACTATAGAACAGTGAAAGTGACGCCACCAAAATTCAAACTTGATCGGTGTTTTGTGGTAATAAGCATTGTGTATAAGTTTCATAACATTTGGTTGAAGCAAACTCAAGTTAGAGAACGGAAACCAATTTAGGGACGTACAGACGTAGAGACGGACAAGGGTAAAACTTAATGCCCCCTCCGCTAAGGCTGGGGCATAAAAATAGGAACAACAGTCAAATTGGTAATACAAAATTGTCAAAACTTCTGTCAAGAGTTTATTGATGGTTTCAGTCAAATGTCAGTTTTATAGAACTAGTAGTTCTGATCATTTCACTTTCCAGATGATTTTAAATATGAATTATGTAATAAGGTCCTATGTAATAATCATGAGCATATGGTTCGTCTGTCTTGAAATCAGTGAGAATGGATATTATATGTAGCTTAATACATAATATTGAATGAAGTAAACTTGCATTATCCATATCAATTTCAGAAGATTCATGACAGGATACTTGTGTTATTCTCAAACATATGAACATTGCATATTTATTTTTACATTTAGACCCATTAATCTAGAAACATTAATCTGAAAATCATCGAAATCAAAAAGTACCATGTCCGAGTCCTAGCACAGTGTTTAAATGTTATATGAATTAATGAAAATTTTTGCATTTTTTTTCCATTCATAAAGGGGCATAACTCGAGAATGGTTAAAGTGACCCCACCAAAATTCAAACTTGATCTGTATTTTCTGGTAATAAGCATTGTGTATAAGTTTCATAACATTTGGTTGAGGCAAACTTAAGTTAGAGAACGGAAACTAAAATTTTTGCAATTTTTCCATTTATAAAGGTACTCTTCAGAATCGCCTATATCTAACTATACGGAAGATTGCCTCTTTTCTCTTCATCTTCAATGAATTTGTTGAAGTCAAATTTCATTACTGCAAAATCAGTTTAAACATCAAATAGACTATCACCCATTCATGCATTTTGAACATTGGGATGAAAAATGAAAACATATTGTGTCACATGGTCAATACTTGCATCTACCCAAATATCACGATAATAAACTGAAACATTTGATTTCCAGAATATGTGGACCCAAAAATTCAAAACGAGACAAAATTCATTATTTTTCATTACATTTTATTCCCAAAACTTTTTTACTATTCATATATTTGCTCTTCTGATTTCATATGTATATTTGCAATTGTCTGATTTCTCTTTCTTATTTTATTTTTATGGGTGAATTTTAAAAATCTTAAATGTGTTATTCATAATTTTGTAGTTTGTTATTTTTTTTTTTTTTTTTGTACGTATGTGTGTTTTTGTATTTTCTGGGAGTTGAGGGGTATATGTAGAGGCATAGGAGCTGGGGAAGGGAGGCAATCTCCCAACTTTCAAAAGTTGGGGCGAAGTTATGTTTTAACCCCACCCCCATCCTCATACTTTTTGGCCATTTTTTTTTTTGTAAATAAGAAAATGGTTATGAAAGAGGACATTAATTGACTTGTAGACTATTAGTATATCATTGAGTAAATTAGAAAAGGTTTTATTTTTGCTTGTTACTTTTAGAAGCTTGAACCCCCTTTTTTCAGTCTATTCCGACGTCACTGGTATGTTACAAAGTAATCAGCAATATTTTTACTCGGACACGTTAAAGAATTAAGAAGCGCTTGTGTTAATGCAAAATCCCTGAATTATTAAAAAGTAGATATCTCCAATCATTGTAGTACAAAAACCGGTGTGGACTTTTTTTGTGTTTAATCTTTTTAATTATTCAATCGTCTTTACAATAAAAACATATATTACCTTATAGCGGGTTATTTTCGTAGGGTGTATATTTTCGCAGATAGAACAAAATCGCCAAAATAAATTCCGCCAATATAAAATTGCAATTTCAATGATATTGATAAAAGTTTTGAATCCGCTAAATAATTTGGTATTCCTTATTCGTAAAAATCGCGAAATTTTACACCCGCAAAAATAACCTGCTATACGGTACTTTAATTAATAAAAAATGTTGTATAAGTCAGATACAAAACAAAAGTAACAAAGAAACAGGCTGATAACAACCAGCCATATAGTTTTTTCTGCACTTGTAGTCGGGTGAAGGTCCTCACTATTGCCTTGGACTTAACCTGACTACTCGTGCAGAAAAACTATACAGCAACAGTTGTTACCGGCCAGTTTTTTTGTTACCTTTGTTCTGTATCTAATACGAGCTTCAGAAGCAGGAAGAAAACTGAGGATTGCTGGATGATGTAACCATATAGGACTATAAACTATATAAGTAACCATACACCCCCCAGGCCATGAGAGTGTTACCTGCATGATCTCGATGTTCACACAACCATATACCCTGCCATGTACCTAAGTTGAGTTTTCCTTCTGTTATTGGTATACTGAGGGATGTTCCTATAAAAGCTGTCTTTATATGTGCAGGCTGCAAATATAACAAGAAAGAATATAACTTTGACAAAGTCAAACAAATGATCAGATTGTAAACTATTAAGTATAAGTTTGTAGCAGTTGTGATATGTTGAAGATTTTACTAAATTTAAACTTAAACCTGTTCATATTTTGGGGGAATTTAGTAAGAAATTACGACATTTTCTTGCCATTAAGTGCAGAAGTAATTATTTTTGGTTTGTCTATCGAAAGGAACAGCATAATCTCCTGAAGAAATTTACCGTGTTAAACATCACATGCTTTTACCTGTGTAATAACGGTAAAATGTTTGATATATAATTGGTTTTGGTAAATAACTGTCATAAAATACATTCTTTTCTCTTGGAATATGGAATAAAACAATTATGGTATTTTGTATCAGTAAATATGTGGTTTCATTGACTTTTAAAAAACTGAAATTGGCTTCAGTTGGCCTCAGTGAATATCAGTTTTTCAAAAGTCAATAAAACCACATATTTACCTCATCAAAAGACAATAATTGTATAATATTTTAAACACTGAATGGAACTTGGCAGTATATCATTCATATGAGCACAAATAAAAGCCCTAAGGAACTAAGAAAATCTAAAACACTAATTTCATCCTTCTAGTTCATTTTCTCACTTTTGGATTACACACCATAATATTTCTGCAAAGACTACATTTGTATGATGAAATGAATAATTGCTATAAACAAACACATACCATGTCATCAGGCCCCTCACATTTGTGTCTGAATGGTGTACTCTGGAAAAAAAGAACATAACTTAGTTTTGATCAGTTCATTGAAAAATAACAGTTACTAAACACAATTTTAAGAAAAACATTTATACTTCAAAATTGATATTTGAAATTTCATTTCTCAAAAAAAAGCCTTAGATTTTGCTTAAAAATCGTCATACTTGCCATCTTCTATTTGTTTCTGTCTGAAGCCAAATTGGTTGTCATTGGCTGATGTCTGCCATAATTGTTATTCGTTGGTTGTCTTTACCATAAATTAGGCCATTGGTTTTCTCTTTTGAAATGTTTTACATTTTGCCATCTCAGAGCCTTTTATAGCTAACAAAACAATATGGATTTTACTCCTTGATTAAGGCCATACTGTACTTGTTCATATCCTAGTCCTATGGTCTTCTGTGGATTGTTGTCTCATTTGCAAGCATAGCAGTCTTTTCCTTATTGAGGAGTGGATATAACAATTTGTTCATATTTGGTGAATTTACAGAGCTAAGTCAACTCCACAATGTACCTCCTCACTTTGTCCTATTTCAAGTGACAAAACAATAATCATTCCACATTCTAACAAGATACCTACAGCTGTGGATTCATTATTATTCATGGGGTACCAATTTTATTTTCGTTGACATCAAATTTAAATGTTCAACAAAGTATGCATTGTCTACAGGCTTGTATTCAAACTTTTGCTAAACCACGAAATAAGATATCCACATTAACATCATTTTTCCTCAATCCAAAAAAATTGGTACCCAAGAAAATAAATGAATCCACAGTATTTAGAAATAATTTCATTTGAGGCCATTTCCACCAGTGCTGAACCTAAAATATTGTACTGACATGAGGTACTAAGCTATTCACACCTCAAAAGAACCAATATATTTTTTTATGACAGCAATTTATGGTACTACAACCAAATTGTAATTTTCATGTGGTTATACTTATAGTTATACATACGTCTGGTATCAGTTTATTAAGCATGCTTTCCATGTCCACCCTGTAAAAAAGTAGAGTAATTTTTATATAAAATTCATGAATATCATAAATATCATAAAACAGTATATGATCAACTTCACATCTTAGACTGTGTATTCAAAACAGAATTTAAATTTCCTTCCACTCTGAAATATTCCTCGTAAGAACCTAATAGGAAGTTGAACAAAACTAAACTAGAGGCTCTAAAGAGCCTGTGTCGCTCACCTTGGTCTATGTGTATATTAAACAAAGGACACAGATGGATTCATGACAAAATTGTGTTTTGGTGATGGTGATGTGTTTGTAGATCTTACTTTACTGAACATTCTTGTTCCTTACTATTATCTCTATCTATAATGAACTTGGCCTGGTAGTTACAGTGGAAAATATTTTGTAAAAATTTACAAAAATTTACAAAATTTATGAAAATTGTAAAACATTGACTATAAAGGGCAATAACTCCTTAAGGGGTCAATTGACAATTTTGGTCATGTTGACTTATTTGTAGATCTAACTTTGCTGTACATTATTGCTGTTTACAGTTTATCTCTATCTATAATAATATTCAAGATAATAACCAAAAGCTGCAAAATTTTCTTAAAATTACCAATTCAGGGGCAGCAACCCAAAATGTGTTGCCTGATTGGTCTAAAAATTTCAGGGAAGATAGATCTTGACCTAATGAACAATTTTATCCTCATCAGATTTGCTCTAAATGCTTTGGTGTCAGAGATATGAGCCAAAAACTGCATTTTACCCTATGTACTATTTTTTAGCCATGTCGGCCATCTTGGTTCGCGGGCAGGGTCATCGGACACATTTTTTAAACTAGATACCCTAATGATGATTGTGGACAAGTTTGGTTAAATTTGTCTTAGTAGTTTCAGAGGAGAAGATTTTTGTAAAACATTACAAAAATTTACAAAAAATTGTTAAAAATTGACTATAAAGGGCAATAACTCCTTAAGGGGTCAACTGACCATTTTGGTCAAGTTGACTTATTTGTAGATCTGACTTTGCTGAACATTATTGCTGTGAACAGTTTATCTCTATCTATAATAATATTCAAGATAATAACCAAAAGCTGCAAAATTTTCTTAAAATTACCAATTCAGGGGCAGCAACCCAAAAACGTGTTGCCTGAATGGTCTGAAAATTTCAGGGAAGATAGATCTTGACCTAATGAACAATTTTATCCTCATCAGATTTGCTCTAAATGCTTTGGTGTCAGAGATATGAGCCAAAAACTGCATTTTACCCTATGTACTATTTTTTTTTGTGAAATTAAGTACTGGTACATGCAAAAAAAGTCTATACAGTACCTACTGCTGTGTCCTTCAATGCATATACAATGTATGTAGCATGATGGACATATATCAAAGATTTCACCTTAAACTTATAGGGGATGTCTTGAACCTATAATTAGGTGAGGGCATTTTCACCATGTTGAAGATCTCACTGGGACTTTTAGATAAAGAACAGCAATACAAGTGTTGTTTCTTTGCCTTTGTTTTTGTTAAGTATGTGTCGTAACTTAGTGTCATGAACTGAATACACAAAAAACTGCTACATTGTATTATAAATTTCTTAAAATAACAGGCATTCTCACACAAATGAAAATACTGAGATTGTTCCAATATTTCCCTTCATTTTGTTGAGAAATAAAAACTTTCACTAATATGGTATCACACATTTTCAGGCAAAGTGTTTATTAATTTCATGTGAATATGATAACTTTTTGTGTAATTTATTTTGTAGAAACCGTTATTACCTTATATTATGGAATATAAACTTTCTAAAGGGATTTGGCATGCAAGCCAAGAATCAAAGGATAACAGAAACTAGGAGTGAGGGCAGGAGAAAAGAACAAGGTCAGTCGGGGAGCAAGAAGGTGTGTAGTGGAAATGTTAATAACTTTACTTCAATGGGCAATAGCGTCTTAACTCACCTATAAAAGTTTTGTCATCTTTTATAACAAGCATGCAATTTCAATAAAAAGTAAGATTATATAGAATAAAAATAAATAGCCATTATTTATGGTGAATACAAGAAATGTTGTTTAATTTTAATTAAAATAAAACGTACAGAACCCTCCCACTTGCTATAAAAACACTTAATAAAGTTGGAAATAACTCTGACAACAGAATATGATTTTGTGATATAAATATACTCACCGTACATCAGAGTCCCAGTTCTGAAAAATAATAAGTATATTGTATAACAAGAAAAATGTGATACGGTAAAAATCAGGTCCATACTGTAAACTATATATAATCTGAAACTAAATATGCAACTACTTTAACAGAATCAGCTTGAAATTTGGTATACAAAAGTTAGACCAATGGAACAAAATTATCTTTTTATCCACAATCACTTATTATACAAATTAAATAAATACCAAATATCAGCTCACTGTCCCTATTATTACTGAAAAATAAGCAGAAAAAATATGTTTTCTTTAAGTTTTCTGTCCCATGATCATTACTATGACAGCCAGATAAAACTAACATCACATATTAAGAAACTTTTTATTGTACAATTATATAGTAAATGCAATCTCACTTTGTGGAATGATACATGTAGCTAAGTAAAAACTCTTCTTTTCTTGAAGTTTATAAAGTCCCATGACTGTATAACCTGTATGAGGTCAAAATTATATCAACCACAACTGAACTCTTTTACTATATTAGGGGATTATAATTTTTAAAAAAAGGGGCAGAGGGGCTAACCAAAAATAAGGGAGGCACCATTAAACTACAGGCTCTCAAGAGCCTGTGTTGCTCACCTGTATCTACTGTGGTTTTGGAAATCATGTAAAATAAGGTTAAAATCATATAGATACCCTAATAATGATTGAGGCCAAGTTTGGTATAATTTAGCCCAGTAGTTAATTAAAAGCAGAAGATTTTTGAAAAGATTTACAAAAATTACCAATAAATTGCAAAAAATAACTTTAAAGGACAATAACTCCAATAAGATGTCAATTGCCAATTGGTCATGTTAACGTATTTGTAGATCTTTCTTGATATTTTTGCTGTTTACAGTATATCTCAATCTATAATGATATTCAAAATAATTAACAAAAAAAAAAAAATTCCTTTCCTCCGCTCCAAAATTTATTTCACCCAGGGCCTGTATAATGCTGAAAATGCCTTTAAATGTTTTTATGGAACACCCTTCAAAAAATAACTGGGCAGGGGTTCCCTGGGTCTGGGGGGCATTCACCCAATTGTAGTCTTACAATAGTTACTGAAGACCCCTTATCATTATTTAAATTAGTTTTGAACTTTTCAAGTGACCACTTGAAATTGTTTTTTTACATTTTTCTCCCTAAATTTTTTTTTCACCTCCCCCCCCCCCCCTTTTCCAAAAAAAAAATTCTTTCCCTCAAGATATGGTCATAATCTCAATTAAAATTTCCAAAGGAGTTTGCAACCATAATTACCCATTTAAATACATCATAAAAGTCTTAAAATAGAAAATGACATGCATAATCATGGCTAAAATTAATATATTAAATATTCATTAATCAGCATTTTTAAATAGTAACTTCTAAAAATAAACTGACAGCTAATCACCTCAAGACAGTACAATACAACATTTCTTTATACATAATTTAAAAGCAGTGTAAGGGAGGTAATCCAAACTTAACATTGTACTTTATTTAATTGTCCATTAACCAGGAAACCCTTTTTTTTCCCACTTTTTTGCCCTAATTCCTAAATGGTTTGAGTCATAGCCCCCCCCCCCTCCCCAAGCCAATCCTAACCATCCCTTTATGGTATGGAAACTTGTGGCATAATTTCAGAGGGATCCAAACACCGTTCCACAAGTTATTGTCTGGAAACTAAAAAAATGCTTATTTGGGACCTTTTTGGCCCCTAATTCCTAAACTGTTAGGACTAAAACCCCCAAAATCAATCCCAACCTTCCTTTTCTGGTTACAAACTTTGTGTTTAAATTTCATAGATTTCTATTAACATTGACTAAAGTTATTGTCCGGAAACCAAATGTCTTCGGACGACGCTGACGATGACGACGTGATACCAATATACGACCGCAAAATTTTTTGCAGTCGTATAAAAACTGCAAAATTTCCTTAAAATTACCAATTTAGGGGCAGCAACCCAACAACAGGTTGTCTGATTCGTCTGAAAATTTAGGGGAGATAGATCTTGACCTGATGAACATTTTTAACCCATTGTCAGATTTGCTCTAAATGCTTTAGTTTCAGAGATATATAAGCCAAAAACTGCATTTTACCCCTATGTTCTATTTTTATCCATGGCGGCCATCTTGATTGGTGGGCGGGGTCATCAGATACATATTTTAAACTAGATAACCTAAGGATGTCATGATTTAGGCCAAGTTTGGTTTAATTTGGCCCAGTGGTTTCAGAGGAGAAGATTTTTGTAAAAGTTAACGATGACGACGGACGCCAAGTGATGAGAAAAGCTCACTTGACCCTTTGGGTCAGGTGAGCTAAAAATCAGAAAAATCTATTAAAAAAATGAAATTTTTGGCAAAAGGAACTTGACCCATTTTTTTTTATATAAGTATCTTTTAATTATACAATTATATACCATATCTCAATACAATATGCAAATGACTGGTAACTGATTTTTTTAATGACATTTTCATGAAGTTTATAAGTTCAATGGACATATTTGGTCAAAAGTAGGTGGACTGGGAAAAAAAACTAAAATATGCTTTGTAATTTGTTAAAGAAATAGATCAAAAGTAATTATCCTTTCCTTGATGTGATTTTCTGTTTGCTCCTTAAAGAGACCAAATGACATAGAAGTTTTGAGCTTGCTTTAAGTAACTATGAGCATTCTTTGATATGGATAAATATTGTATATTATTATGATTATTGTCTTCTTTGTAGTTACATGTTTTTGTTATCTTAGTATTATACCTTCATTTCAAAGTAAAATTATTTTCATGTACTGCATGTAATTTTATGTTCTTTTTTATGTCATTTTATTTACTTTTATGTCACTTTATGTACATTGTCATCTTATGTTCTTTTATGTACATTTATGTCATTTGATGTTCTCTTCTGTACCTTTATGTAATTTTACATGTTTTATGGTCTTTTATGTCATTTGATGTACCTTTTTTTTGTCCACTGATTGAAATTACCCAATTAGTTGTATTTATACCATGGATTAATTTATTTTTTTGTGGATACAAGTTTTCATGCACTTAAACGAAAAATGTATTTTCATGGATATTTGATTTAATGATGTACACCTCTGAGGAGCCAAAAATTTCTAGAATTAAACTTTTTTTCTTAACCTGATTTTTGGGTTTATAAGACTGTAAAAAGATAATTGGTGAAGAAAAAATCATATGGTGGTGCACTTCTTTTTTTGCTACGGCCCTTTGAAAGTACCCAATTTTGATGATTTTCCCATTTTTGGGCTATTATCGTGAAAAAAATCACAGTTCCACAATTAAACTTTTTTTCATACTTTCAATAAAGATGAATTGGACCAATCTGAATAAATTTAATTTAAAAAAACTATAGGTAGGTGTTAATATAAGAAAGTTTTATCATATTTTGATGCTTTTCGTGTCAAATTTACCATGCTGTCAATTTTGTAAATTTGTGATTTTTCTCTGTTTTAAGAACAAAATGCATATTATTTCAACTTCTTTGGTTTAAACTATTGAAAAAATACATATCTAAGAAATTTAAATAGAAAAAAGTGATATGGGATGTACATGTTTCTGGTAAAATCATTTCTTGTACCCCTCACCCTTTTTCTCAAAATTTTGGCTAAAAAGACTGACTTGATTGGTAATAAAATTTGAAAAATTTATTACTCAAAAACTACTTATTGAAAAGACACAATTTTTTCACAGAGTTAAGTTTGATTATGATATTTATTAAATTCATTGCTATTTTCAACTTGTATCGCATTTTTTGGAAATAATTCCAGAATGAGATTTCAATGAGACTGAAACATCAGAAGAATACATCCTTAATGGTCTTGCCAAAGTGTTCATAAAAGCATACAGAAAATTTGTACTTCCTTGAATATTTAAATTTGTTGTTTAACTTTGGCTTTATGAACAATAAACAATGGTATCCCAGGAATAATAATGGATTCATATATAGTATGAAATATCTAAATGTTAATGTTTTATTGAATTTTACAATTGTGGTGTTGATGGCAGATTTTAGATAGTTTCTGGAAATCAGTTATTCAAATTGTTTACAAAATAGGGATTATTTATAAGAGCATATTGTAGACACTGGTCTATGGTTGAAGACTGTATGCTGACCCCTCCAAGTATTATGATTATTTGTGTCATTGGTTTGCTGGCGTTGTGATATATACATTTGTACCCCAGATTTCCTGTTATTCATATCAAAAGGTAGACTCATTTAAATCTTATATATTTAGAACGGAAAAACTCTGCAGCCCTGTCTATGGGTCAAATGCACTTACTCAACCTCTGCAATTTACAGTGTATGCCTTTACACAACTTGTCTTTGGAAATCCCACAAATCCTTTGGAACAAAAATTAAAATCAAATTTCTATACGAGTGTGTGCATGCTGTGTGTGAGCTGTTGATTAACAAAAATGTGTTGTAGACACCAAAAAGCTTTGCTACGACAGTATACAATTTCTATTTTCCCTTGATCATAAAAAAACTTACCTCATTAAGACAAAGACTGGCTGATGTATGCTTTACTGGAAAAAAAGATAAATCTTTTACAAAAGGTTCAACTAAAATACAGTTTTCTTGCAAATTCCAAATAGAGCTGAACCAAAATTGCATTTTTACTACACAGTTGAAAAGTAATGGAGGTCAGTGTAGGAAGTTAGTGCAATTCTAGTGTTTGTAAACAAGGTTATGTGAATGACTGAAAAATGCTGCATGACCCTATGCTTTTTATATTCAGAGAGCCTTAATACACCTTATTGTTATTTGTCTGCCATTACTGGACATCCAAACAGTTCCCGTTAAATTTTGACGTCACAATAGAAAATGTCTGATGCCACAAAGGAAAAGTGATTGTTATAGGACGTCAATATAGTTCAAGTTTTGCAGATTTAAGAAATAATTCCTTCATGTCATGCTCTATGCTCATTTTAACATGGGTAGGCATTATATTTGTAGCTAACGCTCATTGTAAAATATCAACAAATATAATGCCTACCCATGGTAAGAGAATAGTGCATGACATGAAGGAATCATTTCGATTCTAATAGGACAAATGCAATATTTTTATGGGTCGAAGCGTACCAAAATACCTTAGAAAAATTTGGCTTTTCCCGTTTCTTCCTTATGAAGTATGTACATTACATTTTCATATTTAATAAGTTTAAAAACTAATAGCATGGTAAATTATAAAATATATGCTGATTGAATATTGAATAACAATATATAATAAAATTTATATAAGCAGCTAAAATGTATATATTTTATTAGGGTAAAAATGAAAATAACGAAAATGTAAACAGTAAGTGCGTATGTTTCAAACATATTTTATGCTAATTAGAACACAGCTTTGTTTACAAAGCGTAATAAGGATGTCATATAAGAATCCCAAATAGGGATATGGTCTATTGAAATACTGGATTCATGTTGCGTTTTTATCATGTAAAGTGTATAGGCCCTCATGAGCAGGAGAATCCACAGGCACTTGTTTCTATCCATGGGAAGCCCCACTATCAACGTATATTTACGTAAATATACGTTGATAGTGGGGCTTCCCATGGATAGAAACAAGTGCCTGTGGGAGAATCAATCACTGGGAGGAAAAGGTAATTGATTTAAAACTTGATGGACAAATCTTCAATCAATATCAAGAATTTGAGATGTAATATATCATTTTCATGAATTATCTATGTGGCACACGTTTGTCAGCTTGTTGGATTAAAAGTACATGTATCTTACTATGCACATTTGCAAGTCCTATCTGAATTTGTTCTATTTCAGGAACTAATCTAGTAAATTCGTCTGATATTAAATGACAGCCTCTTTTCTTCGCAGGGATTGATATTTCTCTTTGTAGCCAAACACATCCCTCAGCAGTTGTCATGATTTAATTTGATCAGGCAGCAACGAAAATTCTCAACGAAAATATTGGGATACGTTACAAGTAGGGAAAAGGAACGTATACAATTGTATTGAACTGTCAACGTATACTCTAGTAAATTATCCTTGCTTGGAGCACACAATTGTCACATGTCGTTCAAATAAGCATTTCCATTTTACCATGTTAACTTTTAACTCTAGTCTGCGGAAATTCTGAAATATTTCCTGATCTAATATACATGTCTCTGGTATGATCAATTTTTATCTGGGACATAATATATCGTTTCCCAATTATTTTTTATCGTACATGTAAGGTGTCTAGTGTGTGAAAAGAGCCCTGGAATCATAGGTCATGTAAATGTGAGAGTGTTTCTGGAATCTTTGAAATAGCTAGTGTTCTTGAAAAGTTTATATATAAACGTGAAATCATGACTGCATCCGAAATAATTCTTATCTACAGTACACAAGCAAGTAGCATGCACATATTAAGATTTATTACTGAAAATAGTTTGCAAGGCTTTAATAAGTGTCTTCTATTCCTTGCAATCAATGTCGTACAAAACTATTTTATTTTAATAACTGTACCCATTTATTTATTCGGATTTGTAAAAAAACACTTTAATGATATAATTGTCCAAAATATTGATCTTTATACCCTCCCTTTCACGAGACAAAAACAATAATGATAATCCATCCATGAAATATTGGCTCAATATACACAAAACCAAGGATTTGTATACTTACTATACAAATCCTTGTTAAACTAACTTGGGATAAATAACCCCACTTTAGCGAGAATTGTCTCTATATCCACAAAATATAACTTTGAATAACATCCCTTTAACAAGACATAATTTCATTACTATCAATCTATGAAATATTGTCCATATCAGAGACATATAATGCAATGTATAAAGACAACATTTCATATGCAAATGTGTCCTTCTCTGGATATTTTTCCTAGATGGGGACAGTCATGACCCCAATGAATTGTATATCAATTCCTTGTTGATACATAATGATTAATAATGAAATGATTGTCTTGGTAAAATATAAGATCATAAGCCACCAGTGCCAAACTCTGTGCAGAAATTTTTAAAAATATAAAAATAATTGCTATTTATTACTGTACTGGTTGGGTTTACAAACATGTCTGTAGTTTAAAAAATAGTCGGGTAACCCATGTTTTGCTGACAATTATCTAACAACACATTGTTTGGACAAACCGAAACTAAATTTATGATAAATTAAATTTGATCATCGGAACCATTCTTGTAAATTAAGGAAATTAGAAAATTTTAGAAGAATTTGATAAATATTTATAAAACTGCCATTGTTTGTGTTTTATTAATTTTTAAACATTATTTCTGAGATAACTTCTGAAAAAAAAACTTTTCACAATACTTTCGTAGGCTTAAAAATAGTGCAGGATTTTACTACAGGTATACATTTATTTATACATGTAAGATACTTAATTTGGTCAACGTTACCAAGGAAACGAATTTGGTAACACATTTCCGACTCAAATTTTGATAGTGGTCAGTAAAAAGTATATGAAGACAAATTTTTAGAGAATTAAATGTTATACATATCTTAACGTCAAATAGCAATTAAATGCATATACAGAACTTCATTTGAACTTTGGTGGATAGTTGTCTCATTGGCAATCATACCACATCTCCTTATTTTTATAAAGAATGTTGACAACGTCATAACACTATACAAATAACGAAAGATGTGGAATGATTGTCAACGAGACAACTCTCCACCAGAGACCAACTTACGTAGAAGTTAGCAACTATAGGTCACAGTAAGAACTTCAAGAATGAGCAAAACCCGGACTACAAAGCAAGCTATTAATTAAAGGTCATCAAATGATATAATAAAACAATTCAAACGAGAAAACTACCTGCCTGATTTATGTACAAAACAATAAACTTAAAACACATACATTGTATGACATACAGCAACAAACGACAACCACTGAATAGTTCATATAGAACTGCTGTGCTAACCAGCCTGATTAGTACATCATTTGTCAAGTAAGAACGTATTTATCAGCTTTAAATTAATTTTCCTTAAAATCGATTTGGACATCGTTCATTTAAGAAGAAATCTATTTGCCTATACGAGTTGTTCGATGCTAAACCCAGATTGCATTCATTCAATTAATTCCGTCTCTTGTGATAAAAAGTAATAAATTGTTTAAAAGATGAAATGTACTTTGAATCTTTTTACACTGGATGTAATTAAAAGTACTTTTTGCACATAAGACTGCCATTAAATATTCTTTACAAATTTAATACTTTTAGTCTCTGCAATGCTAGATATGTATGTTCAAGCCTTACTAAACTTTGATTCTCATGAATACTGAACAATATTAGTCTTTTAGCAAATTTATATTCGCTTAGTGTGAAAAGCAGTTTAGAGATCATACAAAATTCTGGTTGATCTTCAAGACCTTTCCGTAATCTCTCTCCGTTATCATCTACGACACCCAAACAAGATATACAATGAATAACCTATATACAAGCTATATAGTGAATGACATATAAACAAGCTAAACAGAATAAATAACATATGAACAAGTTATACAGTGAAAAACATGTAAACAAGCTAAACAGCGAAAACATGTAAACAAGCTAAACAGTGAATAACATGTAAACAAGCTAAACAGTAAAAAACATATAAATAAGCTAAACAGAAAAATAACATATGAATAAGTTATACAGTGAATAAAATGTAAACAAGCTAAACAGTGAATAACATGTACACAAGCTATACAGTGAATAACATGTAAACAAGCTATACAGCTAGTGAATAACATGTAAACAAGCTATACAGTGAATAACATGTAAACAAGCTATACAGCTAATGAATAACATGTAAACAAGCTATACAGCTAGTGAATAACATGTAAACAAGCTATACGGTGATTATCATATAAACAAGCTATACAGCTAGTGAGTAACATGTAAACAAGCTATACGGCGAATAACATATGAACATGGTATACAGGGAACACATTTAAACAAGCTAAACAGTAAATAACATGTAAACAAGCTATATAGTGAATAAGATATGAACATGGTATACAGGAAAACATATGAACAAGTTATACAGTGAATAACGTGTTAACAAGCTAAACAGTGAATTACATATAAAACAAGCTATACAGTGAGTAACATATGAACATGGTATAAGGGAATAATATGTAAACAAGCTAAACAGTGAATACCATGTAAACAAGCTATATAGTGAATAAGATATGAACATGGTATACAGGTTATAACATGTAAACAAGCTAAAGTTAATAACATATAAACAAGATTTACTGTGCATAACATATGAACATGGTATTTAAAAGCTGAAGACAGAAAGTGTAAAGGAGGGACGAAAGATATCAGAGGGACAGCCAAACTCATAGATCGAAAACAAACTGACAACGACATGGCCAAAAATGAAAAGACAAACAGAAAAATAATAGTACAGATTACACAACATAGAAAACTAAAGACTAAGCAACACGAACCCCACCAAAAACTGGGGGTGATCTCAGGTGCTCCGGAAGGGTAAGCAGATCCTGCTCCACATGTGGCACCCGTCGTGTTGCTTATGTTATTACAAATCCGGTAAGTAGTATATATATAATTCGGTAGGTCACATTCGTGAAAAGGGAAGGGTATTGTAGTTACGACATAAGGAACATATCCGATATCATCTGTGAAGTGGTTATTCCATAACGGTCAACCAACTCGTGATGGCGTCCGTAAAATTTACGAAGGGATGATTTCAACTTCACCATTTGTAACTCTTGGTTTAATAGCTTCCTTGTGAGCAGCAATCCTCTATTAAGGAAATCATGATAGGAAATACAAGCCTGGGAATATCGTACCAATTGGGAGATATTTACTCCGTATGCAGGCGCTGCTAGAATGTTGCTACATAGAAATGGAAAGTTCACAATTGGGAAGCTGAAATCATCTCTTTTGTCGTAAAGTTTTGTTTTCAACCGACCCTCATTGTCAATTTCTAGATGTAAGTCAAGATATGAGGCAGACTTAACTGTATCTGTAGTATCCTTTATCTCTAGTTGATGGGATAGATTCGTTCAAAAAAGTCACCAAATTTTGTATTATTTAGTGAGAGAACATCATCTATATAGCGGAAAGTAAAGTTAAAGGATATTGCTACCTTCTTATCTTTCTTCGTAAGAAGTCCCTGTATGAAGTCAGCCTCATAATAATAAAGAAACAAGTCGACAAGAAGAGGGGCACAATTGGTTCCCATTGGAATTCCGACAGTCTGTTGAAAAACACGTCCTCCAAACGTAACAAATATGTTGTCAATCAAGAAATAAAGCATCTTGATAATGTCAGTTTCAGAGAATTTTTTGTTTGAATCAGAGTTATTCTTTACAAAGTAGGATTTATCCCTCCCGAAGACAAGATACTTGTAATACCAAAGCTATGTAAGAACGCATTTGAAGATAAACTACATTTTCTTTTGAAATGTCCTATTCTGAAAGATACAAGATCTCAACATCTGTCTGATTTAAATTCTATATTCAAAACTTTTTCAATGATGAGATGAAATTTGTTTGGATTCTTTCATCTGAAGATTTGTTTGTTATGTAATGTTTATTGGTCGTTATGGTTACAAACAAGAAGAACCTTGTTGTATCAATACATGTTTCACGCAGAAGGAAGCGTTGTGTCGATTTAGACGTTTGGCGGGAAAGTCAGTGGGTGGGTCCAAGGGTATGGGGGTGTTTGAGAGGGATTCTTGTGTTCGGTATCGGAAACATTTAGAGAACACCCCTATCCAGTAAATATTGTATTCACCCTGGGGTATATAAGTGGGTGAGGATTACAATTCGTGTTCTGTCGATATTCTCATTAAGAAGACCAGTGTACAAGAGTAAGGCACGTTACATAGCTGTAAGTGATATTGTCGAGGACAACTTGTACTGGGGACAACTTGTACTAGGTACAAGTTGGTCTAACATAGGAAGTTGGCAGAGCAGACTGTCCCATACGGAGGACGGACTGCAATAATAT